TACCTCTCATCAAAAACTTTCATCTCTTATCTGTTTCGTTAAAGATAACATATCCAACGAGCAACACGGAGTGAAATTTCTTGTGCACGATCTTACATAGGCCAAATTAATCGAAAAATCCATAACATAATTTATGAACATCTCATTTTCTTTGAGTAATTACTATTCAGTTTTAGCCTAAAGGCCCGTACACATCTGGCGAATGCACGTAACCGAAGCCCTTTGACCGAATTCATTCGATATTTTCGGTGTTCGATGGAAAATTTGGTATTTTGTCCATATTACAGCGAAAGAATTCGTTTGCAGTCATTCGTTCAGTTTCGCGGGAATTTTTGGAAATTCGTGGCGCAGTAGTTATGCAAATGGTAAAAATGACATTGGATGAAGATATAATCATTGCGAGTGCAAGTGCGTTGTATATTATTACTAGTGAGGTGGAGACCAAAGAAATGAAAGACCTCCCCAAAAAACGACGAAAACGGCGCTGGTGGACAACATCATTGTTCTAAAGAATAAGTTAGTCTAGAGTGATAGACTTATTAAATGATCTGAAAGTAGAAATGGAATACGGGCTTTTTCAAAATTTTTGTAGAATTGGGGCTTCAATTTTCTTGTGATGTAACAGTTGCGAACTCTAGCAAAGGCAAACAGATGCGTTTGCTATCGTTTGTTGGAGCGAAGTACATTTTGGTACATTTGGTGGAGTTTCCAGCTGTTCTCCGTTGTGTTAGAGGTTTACTCCCGGCTCTGGAACTCAATTGAACAATGTATGTTTACCTGAAGTCATATTTAATTTAATACTGAACATCACAGTTTTTTCAACAACAAGATGTATAATCTTTTACCAACTATATGTAATTTAAAGGGTTTTTACCCATGTATTTTGGTTGGCTTAGGCATTTTAACCTAGCAATTTTAAAATTTAAACCTGATGATGGACTATTTAGTCCGAAATACGTTTGTTTTTTTATGTAGCCTTTTAAGGGTTTTTAAATAAATATACCCACTTACGAAGACTAACTTCTTTTTTGTGACACGTGGTATACAGCCAGCTACAGGAATTGTTTTCCTTGTGGATTTGGTACATGTTGGTACATTTAACGAAGGCGTTCGATCGCAAGGCTTCGACCAAATGTGTACGCGCCTTTAGACGAACATCATCTTTATACAGGCAACAAAACTACAAAACTATAGCTCATTTTTAATTTCTATCAACAAAGAAGTATACGGAAAGCTACTGAGATTGAGAAACACCTTAATTGTCTTAATAAAGGAGATAACAGGCTCCTGGTTGCCTTCGACATGGAGAACATATATTATTGATATTATATCTGGAATTACAGCTATTTTTATAAACATACTACAATTTTGATATAAAGAAATCATAAACAAACTATTAAAAAACTTAAAAACAAATTGTTGGTTTTATTAGATTGCGAACCAGTTGAGACACCAATAGACAATACGCTAAAACATAATGTTTGGTAAAATTATATATCATATACTTACTAATTATAGCTATAATACATAAATAAGACCAATACGAGCATCCCACTATAATCAAAATGTTTACCGTCTAATCAGAAATTTGATTCATCTACGTCACTGTTTTATTAAAAGTTTTGTTAGTCTCATCAATCGATAGTAATAACTGTTTGTACTGAGTAAGTTAATACAAATGTTAGAACGGTCATTAATAAAAGTAAATGTTTCAAAAGTAATGGTTATTTTGTTCCACTTAGCTTCAAAAATCGTCATTACTCAAAAAGACAAAATTTCAAACAATCGACAGCTCGAAATCCGTGATTTATTAAATCGGTGTTTCTAAAATAATTGTATCACACGAATTAGTTGGAACTATTTTATTATGTCGATGCCTTTATTACCAGTACTTTCGATCCGTTTGTTAAACAATTTTAGAAACATTATATGGTTGATGCTTTATTTTTTATTAACAATTTTATATTCAATTCGAAAACAATTATAGTACGGTTTTCTTGAAACCAAATTAAGGTATAAAAAATTTGGTTTCAATTAATTTAACCCAAATAACATAATTAACATTTAACCAAATTAAAATATTTTCAGGTATTAGTTGATGATTTCTCACATTTTACAGTAGTTAAATTAAATAAAAGATATTAAAATAATAAAATAAAAGAAAATAAAAGATTACATCGATATTAGGAGAACAGGGACACACTCTTCTCGCCTAGGGACCTATCAAGGCATTGATTTATATAAGGCACAACAACACTAGGACACGGAGAGAAGGAAGTTATACAAATGGTTTAAAACAAAGGTAACAAGAGTTAAGTGATAATAAAAAATAATAGTATATTCCAAGGAGCTGCTATTTTATATTTTAATAAATCATTTGTAAAATCATGAATGTGTTGCTTGTGTGAGTCCATTTCAAATAGGTAAAGAAATAATAAATAAGACTTACTCACAATCAATTTAATTTAACTATCAGACGACCGGTTTGCTTTCTACAATATGCAAAGCATCTTCAGGTCTCGATACAAAGTTAAATAAATGCTGAAATGATAAAAACCCATATTAGGGTGTTGTCTAATAAAGATAAACAAATTAGATGTTGTAAATTACAATAATTATGCCAATATTACATGTCTGTGGTTTTATTTCCAAATGAGTAAGTTGAATAAAAAGGTATAAAAAGTTTTAAAAGTTTAAACAGACAAGGTAAGACCCACAAATTGTTATAAAATAGTCTATTAGATTGTAATAAATTAATAAATGAGCAAATAAATAAACATTACTTACATGCCGGTACTCTATTAATTGATGGATGGTAGAACATGGTTGAAACTACTATGTATTGTTGAATGGAGAACTCAATTCTGCTATTGTAGTTGTTTGACAGTAAACGGGAAGTTCTTGAGGAGATAGATTTGATCCAATGAAGCAGAGATATGTGTGTGATTGTGTGTTAAATGAAAGTGATGTTATATACCATTGTATTATTTAAAAGTTATTTATACTTGTTCGAGAGACATATTTATGAAATGTGTGTTATTTATTGAGTAATTGTTTTTATGAAGGTGACAGTTTTATGACAATGAATAAGTTTAGATGTACAAATTGTGTGGGTGTGCAATTATTTTTCAATTTGTAATTATCAAATTTCTTTGATAAAGTTCTATTGGCAAAATAGTAGATTATTGCAAAGTCGAGTAAATAAAATATTAGAATTAAAACAATTAAGAACAATTTAAAACACGCTAAAAACAGAAAACACTTAGAAGGGACGAAACAAACATTAAATTTAAAAGGGGAAGGACTTTTATGCACTACATCTCAGTCTTGGAACAATGAGTTTTTTTATGTTATCTATTAGATTTTAGGGTAAATTTGACAGATGTAGGTTAGCATGTGACAGTTCTTCTTCTGTTTCTCAATACTGCAAGTTAAGTTATCTAGTTTTATGAATATGCTGATATTAATGAATGTTATAAATTGTTTCAATTAAGATATCAAAAGTAAATTGATGTGTTTAATATTGGCATAGTATGCCAATTAAACATAGGCTAATAGGCTAAGTTCTGTAAAACGTTGATTTTGTTTAGTAGTACTTGCTGATCTATACAAAACACTTCCGTAATCCAAAATAGATCATATGTAAGCTTTGTAAAATAATAAATTTACGTCAACATTCGATCCCCACCAAGTTTTATTAATTGATTTAAGAAAGTTTGATCACTTTTTTTGGTAAAAAATTTTGTAAAATAATTTCAATTAAATGAAATATTGTGAATAAATAAATTTGTAGATACGAAGGAACCTACGTAAAGTCATATGTCACAGCTTATTTCGGAGGTAGGGTTGAGGTTCCCCAAACTCAATTGTCAAATTTGATTTGTATTTTTTCAGAACATCGAGAGGTCAAAGGCTGCTAAATATGGCACTACAACAAAGCAGTCCTAAAACTCAGCCAAACAATAATAGTGAACAGCTTACAGAAAAAATAGCAGGTCGTTCGGATCATGAAAATGTTGATTCTACTGATGTAGAGTGTACTGTTAAAATCCCGAAGAGCATAAACGTTGGCGCAATAGCACCAATAATATTTAATGTACCCCCGGAAGAAGAGGAAAGCGAAATGTTTGTTGACCCCAATGATGGTTTTTTATTCACACTGCGCCCTCAGACGATGAGTTTAATGCTGAATCTAGAAAATGTAACAGTTACCGAATCTCTTCAAACAAACAATTTGTCTAATTGGGTAAGCAGCTCATATGCAATGGATAAAACCTTACATAAATTGGAAGACCCAACTCTAAATATTGGCAACAAAACAGTTGAGCAGTTGGAGAATTACGTATAAAATACACCTAATCAAACTGAACTTTGTATTAATATTATTAATAATAATGACATTGTTAATATTAGCGATGAGCAATCAGATAACAATGAAGAGTATAGGCCCAATGAACGTGAACATAAAATTAACAATGACATTGATCAGAATTCGAATAAAATACGTATCAAGTAAAAGCAAACGCAAGAAACGACACCAAGTGAATCAGCAAACTTGGAACATTAGGAAAAATATAACAGCCAAAAAATTAGGAAAGGAATATTGCGGTAAAAAAAAACAAAAAATGGACCGTATGTATATCTATAATATAAAAAGCTGCAAGAGTGATGAAACTAAGATGCATGTGTAACAGAAAAGAAAATAGTGTAATTCAGTGTCTAAGACTTCCAGAAGATGATAGAAAAGAAAATTTTGAAGAGTTTTGGAAAATGGATTGGTCAGAGAAAAAGCTATTTCTGAGGTTTTTGACTCAGAAACCTAACACTGTTACTGAGACCGAAACTCAGAGACATAGAGTAGAAAAAAAAACTCTTGCAAATATTTTCTTAAACAGAATAGTTCTGTAGTTCGTGTTTGCAAGGACATGTATCGGTGAATGGACTGCTCTAAACTGGCAAACAGCAGCATAAGGTAGAAATCGAGATGATCCAACAGATGATCATAAAATTACTCCCAATGATGACGAAAACTCTGTCGAACCTAAAAATCCTAAAAAGAAAACCCAAAGAAGTGGAACCACTTAAAACATTTTTTGTTGGATTACCCAAAGTTGAATCGCATTATTATCGCAAGAGGACATCGAAGTTATATCTTGAACATGGCTAGCAATAAAAAAAAATCATGTACAGGTTTTATAAAGATAATTTGTGCAAATAACAAATGTAACTCAGTTGTTACAATGTAGGTTTTCACAGATTTTTGTGATGGTCAAAAATCTTTCTATTTATCAACCCAAAAAGATGCTTGCGATATTTGCGGGTCTTTTAAAACTGGAAATTTGAGTCAAGACGAGTATTAAACGCATATTCTTAAGAAAGATGAAGTAACGATACAAAAAGATGTAGATAAAGCAGACTGAACTTATGTAAGATTCACATGGATTTCATTCATTATTACTTTGCCCTAAATCTTCAGTATCTTCTCTCTACTATAAAATGAAGTTGTCTGTCCACAACTTTACAATTTATAACATAAACACCATGAAAGATTCTGTTTCATCTGGAATGAGACAGAGGGCGGTTTGATTTCCAATGAGTTTTCAAACAATAATTTCAGATTTTGTTTGATCAAACTTGCCCTTACCTGAAGGAAAGGAAAAAATGTTTTGTAAAGCGACAGTTGTTCGTACCAGAACCGTTGCTGTGCAATGGCCAATGTGATTCTTCATATTGTATCTACGAACAATGTGATAATTTAACAAAAGTTCTTAAATGTCGGTCACACACAAATGGAAGCCGACTCAATCCACTCCTGCATTGAACGAAAGTTAAAAAATAAAACAGTTGGTGTACAGCAGATTATATAACAATCTGTAAATGGGTCAGAAAATCCACTTCTCCATATACAGTAAAGTAATTGGATTACAAATATTTCAAAAATTTTGATAGTCATTTGTTTTATAATAGCATTAGGCCAGGCACACTTAATGGATCTTCCCAAGTTGTTTATATACGTGCATTGAAGTATTTACTCAATTCAAATTTTTCTGATGAATTGGAAAATCTACCCCAAAGAAAAGACAAATTAATTAATCTAACAACACTTCACAATCTTCCAAGTCTTTACACCAAAAGACTATAGATTAAATATAGAAAGTATCTTGATTTACAATCCTTAACATCCATTTTGTAACCAGATTTTCATCTCTTGTATGCTGCAATTACTCACGATTAAACACGTTGTTATTTTACTGTAGTTTGTAAAATTTATGTTTTTTATTTAGTATTATAACTTTAATTAAAATTTGTTGGGTTACAAATATATTTTTGTATTAATAAACTTAAAAAACGATTTATTTTCTGGATCACTCTTTTTTCCATTTTAACAAATAAATGTTGGAAAATCACGTATCTCACGTATATAGTGTGTGTGAAAAACTCCGTAAAAAAATTATAAAGTAAAACAAATACAAATAGCTATTTGAGTTAAATAATACAAATATATATTTCATATATTTCAAACCAACAATATGACTGTTAGTATAAATAAAATTTTACAAAGCTGTTATTGTCTCTTATAAAATTCACTATTTTGCAGATACAAGGTCTGCTAATAAAGGTAGCGATACTATACACAGATGGATTGTTTAAAAATATTGTTGACTTACCAGCTAATCTATCTTTAACAACTTGCGTGGCGAAAGCTGCTGCAGCAGCAGACCTCTGCAGAACGGGATCCAGCCCCAGCGACCAAGGGCTGAACATGGGCCCCGGAGGACTGGAGGGGCCTCCTAGAGGCCTGTGTGCCGGCACTCTCAAAACACCCTGTCCGTAAAACCCCGTCGGAACCAACCCCAAAGCACTTCTGTGTTGAAAGATTCCCGCGGGATTCTGGTACAAAGTCTCTGATTCATTGTCTTGTTTGTGTTCAAAGTTTTTACCTAATAGATTGGATATACTGAAGGGGAGAGTGCTGGACGAGCCGTGGGGCGTAGTGACGTTTTCGGGACTACTGCAATGACTCCGGGCTTCACTATCACTATGCGACAACCGCGAATCAGTGTCCAGAACGTTGATTTCGTGGTCGTCTTCGGTGAGCTCGTGGTCTGACATATTAAACGATCGCGAAAAATCACTACAGTGAGTTCATAGCCCGCAAAGCACGTGGACTAAATGAAGTGAACTGTCAGCTAAGAGTCGAGCACCCTTCTGGCCGCCTCGTTGAACAACTGGCGACGGACTAACCGGTTGCCATGACATCGCCAGCGTCGAGCGCCCCGATCCAATCATTGGCCAGATTGCTGGGATCGGCTCCTCCCTCCATCGCTCCCATTGGGCTAAACTGATTCCGGTTAAATTGAATATCTTCCTGTTAATTTTTTTTCGGGGGATCAAGAAGCGGTCGGTCGTCTTGCCTTTTGCCGATTCGATTGCCATGGACTCGATGAAATAAAAAGAATGTTGGAATAATGGCTCATTAAGGCTATCGGAGGATGTTATTAACAAAGACGTACGTCGGGGACTGACGGGGAGTTGAAGACTTCGTCTAATTAATGTTATATCCATTAGATTAAAGAAACGGCTTCTAGTATTATCATAAAAAAGAAACTCTTTTTAAAATATGTTGGTAATATCGTGAGTTGATGTGTTTTTTCTCGATTATATTTATAATAAAATTTAAACTAATACCATAAGAATTTTTTTTATTTATTTATTTTACTTTAACCACTATGGTTATTAGCATATACATAGGCATATACAAAATATCTATTACATGATAATGTATTCAATATATTTACATTTTAATTATCGATGAATTGTATTAAATTTTATGAAAAAAGTTTTTAGATTTCAAGAATTCTATCAAGTCAGCTACGCATTTAGAATCTTCTAGAAGTTCTTTTAATGTTTTAGAAATGTGGTGATATAGTATTTCAAATGACTATATTGGACAGTTCATTCAAAATGTGCTTCACTGTCACTTTACATTCATAAACAAAACACACTGGTTCCTCTTCTCTCTTCAACAAATATTCATGTGTTGTACTAGAAGTGTCTCCTGAGCTGAGACGAGGCGTGTTATTAGAACTTGATGTTGTTTTAAAGGCCTGAAGTTCCATGGAAGGATTTTATTTCTATCAATTTAGTGGTGCTTCTATTCCATTGGTTTTTACTAAGTAGTAATTTTGATCTAACTTTGTTTAGAGAAAACCCAGATCGGCAAAATTAGTGAAAACGAGTGGCAAGAATACTACGTAGAACTACTTACAGAAAACCTTCCCCAATTTCAGGAAGATAATACAGAACATGCAGGAAATGGGACATACGACCAGATAGAAATAAGTCTGACAGAAGTCAAGAGAGCAATCAAGACATTGAAGAACAAAAAAGCCAAAGGACCGGAGGGCTACCAAACGAACTAATTAAAAACGGAACGAAAAAGTTATGCCGCATGCTACTCAGAATGTTCGAAAGAGGACTAAATGAAGAAGAAATTCCTGCGGAATGTACACAAGCATACATCACATCCATACATAAGAAAAGAAACAGGAAAAAAATGTGAAAACTACAGAGGAATTAGTATAATATCGTCGGTAGGTAGACTTTACGGGAAAATTATCAAGGAAAAAACTAGAAACTGAAATAATAGGAAAAATTGGAGAAGACCAAGCAGTGTTCACAGTAGGAAAATCATACCTAGATCATACGTCTACATTAGAACAACTGATAGAGAAGAAAATGGCAAAAGGTAGACCGGTCCATCTGGCGTTTGTTGATCTAAAGAAAGCATACGACTCAATGCCTATAGTCAAATTATGGGAAGCAATGAATGATCTCGGAATCCGACAAACACTAATAAAAGCAGTTAAAGCACTGTACAAAGAAAACAAAGTAGCTATTAACTGTGGAAATAAAGCCTACAATCCATTTAAGACGACAAAAGGACCTTCTACAAGGCTGTGCTACGTCCCCTACTCTGTTGAAAATATTCTTGGAAAAGACACTCAAACCATGGAGGAGAAAGTGCGAAGTAATGAGCAGTAAGAGACGAATACTTATACACCTTAAGTTTTGCCGACGATCAAGTCGTCATCGCACAAGATGAAGAAGATCTCAGCTTTATGCTCAGAAAACTAGAAGAAGAATATAAAAAACAACGGAGTGGATATAAACTTAGAGAAAACCGAATACCTAACAACAGAAAACAAGGATATGAGAAACCTAGAGATAGACGAGGGAAGACAAGTAAAGGGAACAGATAAATTCAAGTATTTAGGAACCATAATATCAAACAAGGGAACAACAGAAGAAGATATAAACAACAGACAAAGACAAACAAGAAACTGTATAAGACAACTAAATTCAGTGCTATGGGATAAGAACATTACGATAAAGACAAAAAAGAGAATATATACCTAATACCCTGACAAGAAGTATCCTGACATATGAGTCCGAAAACTGGACAATAAACAAGAGAAATAGAGGTAGAATAAGAGCAGTAGAAATGGAGTTCCTGAGGAGAAGCTGTAGACTTACAAAAAGAGACAGAATTGAAAACGCAGAGATTAAGCGGAGAATGGGAGTGCAATCAGACATAATCGACTATATAGAGGAGAAGAGACTATCCTGGTACGGCCACGTCAGAAGAGCGGACAGAGGACGCTGGATAAACAAAATTACAGAATGGAGCCCGATCGGAAGAAGAAAAAAAGGAAGACCCCGAAGGTTATTCAGAGACGAAATCGACGAGGCTATGGAGAAAAGAACCCTGCGAGATGGAGACTGGAATGACAGGGAAAATTGGAGAAAACGGTTGAGTGAAGGAAGACAGTGAAAACTATGGAAATCCTTAGTATAGTAGTAGTAGTAGTAGTAGTATGTAGTAGTAGTAGTAGTAGTAGTAGTAAGTAGTAGTAGTAGTAGTAGTAGTAGTTGTAGTAGTGTAGTAGTAGTACTTAGTAGTAGTAATTTTTGATTTTAAGTAAGGTGTTTAAATCCAAATGCATCGTTAGATTTTCCACTGATGCGGCTGTATTGGTTACTGCGGACCTATATACATAAGAAATTTTATTATCGGTTTGTTTCGAAATTTTGTGTGGTTTTTACAATGGAAATATTGTCTATAAATTGTGTTATAAATGATATCAAAATATTAGAAATTTTATGTAGGTACTTCAGAGGACTGTAAATATTTAAGCTTTTTAATTAAAAGTTTGCTGTGCAACTGTGTTTTTGTACTGTATGCTTCTCTTTAACCCATTTGAACCTACCGTCCTTTATATACGCCGGAAGGTTTCTTCTAGTACATTACAAATTTAAACTGTTCAAATGTAGATGCCGTATTAGTTTTACAATCTTAAATTATCATATTACCCATCGAATCTTATTATGAATCAATTAGTAAATAATTTTCAGTATTTGAGGAAGTTTTTATTTAAGAGTGATTTCAGCTACTTGAAATGAATAAAACTAGGTAAGCCATTACTGATTTGTTTATAATTAGTGATGTCGGATCGTGATAAAATATAAAGTTTAGAGATGAAATAATTCCCATATACAAAAGAATTTTTGTCGGTAATAATATCATAACACGTGCTCAACGTATCATGTTCTTTTAAAATACCATTAGGACAATCAGCGTCTATAGTGTTCTGTTTTACGAATAAATATTTTTTTTATTTTTCTCAGTCGTTCCTACTAGAAAAAACCTCTTACGCTAGCGAAAAGAAGAAAGTTGTGAAGAAGCAATAGACAACCTTCTACGTTGTACGTAGAAGGTTGTCTATTGCTAGAACAGCTATGATGAAACTAGTAATATTTTTGGAAAAATTCTAGCATAACCTACACACAAAACTAAGGCTGGTAAGGACACTAATTTTTCCCGTAGCCACATATGCATCTGTGGACCTTAAAGAAAAAGGATAAAAATAAACTATAGCTCCGCATGTTAAGAATATACTGGATTGATCATCGCACTAACGTATCGATATTATAACAACTTAAAGTAAAGGATAGATTGCTTAAACAAATACAGCAGAGATATTTGCAGTATTTTGGACACATTGCTAGAAGAACAGGTACGATGGAAAAACTGATAGTCGAGGGTAGAGCTGAAGGAAAGAGACCTATTCAAATATCTAATTGACTATTGAAGATACTGCAATTGAGAGTGTTAATAACTATAAATACTTAGGAACATGGATAACATCAGATGTAGACCAAACTAAAGAAATTAAGACACGTATTGAAATAGCACGTGCATCACTCATTAAACTTAAAAAGTTTCTTTGTTGTCCGGATATAAGGTTCGAACTACGCCTGAGAATGCTTCGACATTATCAAATGAGGCGAAAATAATATTATCTATCAAAAGACGAAAACTGTACTTAGGACATGTGATGAGAGGGCAAAGATACGCATTATTATAACTTATTATGCAAGGCAAAATATGAGGAAATCGAAATGTGGGAAGACGAAGAATATCCTGCCTTAAGAACTTAAGGAAATGGTTTGAATGCAGTAGCCCAGAACTTTTTAGAGCGGCAGTCAACAGAGTCGGCATAGCCATGATGATTTCCAACCTTCGATGAAAGATGGAACTTAAAGAAGAAGAAGGATTAAATGAAGTCGAACAACTAGCCCAGGACAGAGAAGAATGAAGGGAAAATCGTGAAAAAACTGTAAAGGCCTGATGGTGTCACCACATCCCAAAAAGGATTATGACTGAGGAGGAGGATGAAAGTTTTAACTTATTTTGCTTAATACAGTAACCAATACTTTTGTCAATTTTGCGAAAAAATTAACTACTGTGAAGTAATAAAATTTCTGATTAACAATATTTGAATCATCAATTTGTAGAATGAATTAGAAATAAATCAACCGTATCGTTTCAAGAATAAAATATGATTGATTAAGACTCAGTAGGTTAAAATGTCAGTTGGTAGTTCAGATTTCTTTCTCATCGTCCCGGACAAACTGCTTTTCCGCTTGACATGCCGTCCTAGCATTTTACTCTTCTTTAAGTGCAATCTACGCGACGAAGGTTGGCAATCATCACGGCTATTCTGACCTTCGAGGCAGCTGCTCTGAACAATTGCCTTGAGCTGCAACCTAACCACTCTCTCAGGTTCTTCAATCAGGAAACGCGTCTTCCTCCTACGCTTCTCCTACCCTCTATTTTTTCTTGAATTATGAGTCTCAAGATGTTGAATCTTTCGCCTCTCATTACATGTCCGACATATTGCAATTTCCTTTCTTTTATTGTATCTTCCATTTCCTTCTCTCTGCCTATTCTCCTTAACACTTCTGCATTCGTGACTTTATCTAAACATG